AACTTGTGGTCGATGTTGATCTCCACGTAGTCCATCCGGTTAATCTGTGGGAGAAGCACAGGGCAGGACACTGGAGACCAGAGTCCAAGACCTGGGCCCAGATCCGCAGACAAACAGCCAGAACCAAAGCCCGGGAGCCGGCAGCGGCTGCCCTCTCTTCCCACTCAGCTGTCAGGATCTGCGGCAGGATCGTCCTGCAGGCACCCTCGCAAGAGCCTCCTTCACAGTAAGGATTCATCTACCCACGGCTCTCCCGGACTTCGGCCAGATTCCAGCTGTTTCAGAACTCGCCACTTGCCGACTGGGCCCCCCTCCCGCGCCTCCAGGGCCCCCACGTGAGGTCTGACTGGCAAGTGACAGGATTACGCCCTATGCCCACTTGGCCAGCACCCGGGGCACCTTACCAAGTCCTTGACCATGGCTTCGATCTGCTCCTGGGCCACGTTTACATCCTCTGTGGGGCCTTCCAGGGTGATCCTGTCCTCGCCCTCTGTGAACTCGATGTGGACCTACCGCACCAAAACAAGAGTCGGCCCACCGGGACGGCACGGCCACAGCAACCTCCTCTGAGAGCCTGGACTGCTCTCCTGGGGCAGCAGCCGATCCACAGACACCAGGAGAAGTTGGAAAGGCGGTCTGGGGATGACCATGGTTTTGGTACTAAACACTGTGTGGGAACCGCAAAGGCCTCCGCACTGTGCGCCACCAAAACCACTGGCATGAAGCACATCGACACCTCACTGCTCACGGCCCCCCGGGGTGTGAGGGGGGGTGAGACAGACGACAACGGGGGCGAAACGTCACCACCATCGCCCCCGACCCCACCCAGCCCAACACACCAGGGAGGGCAACCCGGGAGGCCGGCGCCACGGAGCCAGCCCCACTGTGGGAACCAGGGCTCTGAACAGAACAGGAACGAGATACGACGCACGCGTTCTCTGCCAAGGTTACTGGACCTAGTGCCGCCCAAAGGACAGAGACTCGGAGGGCAGAAAGGCCCACAAACTCCACCTCCACACGAATCGTGTACAAGTTCTGCTCCACGAAATTCTCAGACGTAACTACTCACAGGTTACGACACCGTAACAACTAAATGAGGTATTTCTTGAGATATTCATTAAACTTAGCAATACACTCTTCCCCTGGTTAAAAAGACCCAAAGACGTGACACAGGTATTTGAAAAAACGTATTCTGCTCACCCCTGGCTAACCACGGAGCAGCTGAAAACGGGTGCCCTGGTCTTCAAAGGCACCCCCACCCCCACAGGACAAAAGCAATGTCAGAAATGGGATGACGAAGATCAACTCAACACAGCAGACAACAATTCCTTACCTTTGGCATCTGCTGAGTGATTTTGGCCAGGTTCTGCCCTTTCTTGCCAATGATGAATCGGTGAAGCCAGGAAGGAGCAGAGACGGAGGAGACCGTAAAACTGTTGGCCTAGGAAAACCAGGAAACAAACCCGTGGGTCTGCAGAGTCCAGGTTTCGTGAACACCAAGCCAGGTGGCTCACCAGGGCTCAGAGACAGGTGAGTGCTGCCCTCCCCTGACACGGTCCCAGGAAACGCTCACTGGAGTCTCCCCACAGCGAGCAGTTACCTTGGCATAGACTTCAGTCAACGCCTGCCCCAGCTTTTCAGGCTCGCCTCGGAGTATCACAGTCTCTGAGGTGCTGTCTGAAGGAGGAATCTCCACAGAGACTCCAGTTCTTTCCAGGATCTCCTGCAGGGAATTGCCCTTGGGCCCGATGACATACTTGTGCTGGGATTTCCTCACCTCCACCGCGATGGTCGTGGTCCTCTTTTTCTAAGTAAGAGCGCCGTGAGGGTGTCAGAGGGAAGGGTGTCAGAGGGAAGGGCCGGGAGCAGGACACGGGGCCCTGACTACAGCAAGTGAGCCCCGAAGAGTGAAGACGATGACCAGCCAATCCCCAGAAACTCCACTAATCAAGGACTGGGTTTTCTCCTCAAAAGAATTACTGCAGAATTTAAGTCAAACCCAGAGTAATCATTGCAACTAGCTAGGAAGAAACAAAAACACCCCGTCCTCTCCCCAAATAAAGGAACCAGCGTCAGACCTCAAAGCCCACCGACTCAGGCTAACAGCTCACCCAAAGGCCTGATCAGCTCTGAGCGGCACGTGCCCAGGGGCACACAGGGCAGGGGGAGCTCGGGTGGGAATCCGTGGGGACAGCCGCCCAGCAGAGCTTGGCCCACTGCCCCACAGCTACGGGGAGGCGCGGGCGCCCCCCTTCTAACTGTGGCGACTGGAGCTGTCCAGGCCTCAAAGGCTATGGGGCAGGGCTGGGCTGCCCTCCACCCCCTCCTGACTGCTACCTTCTCCTCGTAAACCTTCTTGACGCGAGCCACAGCCTGAGCCAGTTGCTCCTTCTCCCCCGTGAAGACGATCTCGGTCCGGTTGACGCTGGGCGGGGGTATGTTGATGCGTGTCCCGGTCTCTTGCATGATCTCGCTGACCAGCCGGTTGTACGGCCCCGCGATGAAGGGGTGGAATGCCTTCTCTACTTCCAGCCTCTCCACAGCACGTTTGTCCTGAGAGGGAAGGACGGAAACCATGAGGGCACAGATCTGGGCCTCCCAGCAGTTGGGGCAAGGCCACCACGCACACCAGGCCTGTGGCTGGCCACACCTGCTCGGCGGAGATGAGCAGGACCTCATGGCGAGCTTTCTCGATGCCCTCTTTGGTGCCGGTGATCCTGATCTGATTGCTGGCGTCATCCGGGCGTGGGATCTGGATTTTGGTTGCAGTTTTTAGCTCCAAGTCTTGCAGTTTCTCTCCATTTTTGCCAATAACAAAGCGATGGTGTTCTTTGGGAATGGCAACAGTTGCTGAGGCCTGCGGCAGGAAAAGAACCAAAGAAAACAAAAACACTTGCAGGTTCCACAAAAGCACGTTTTCCCACGACATTCTCCCTGGTTGGAACGCCACCTCCGCCTACTCTCACCTTGCCAGCCCCAACTCGTCCTTCAGAACAGTCTCAGGTTAAACATGGCCTGCGTGGGGAAGCAGGACCAAGCCCCAGGCTAGAATGAGTTCAAACGTGACACAGACCCATGGTCCTGCATCACCCCTTCAGCCATCACGATTATTCCTTCAGTGTGTTCTCAGCCCAGCTCTAAGCCATCACGAGGACAGGAATACTCAAGAATGGTATGTGCTTGTTTCCTATCTCAGTGACTCCTCACACCATGCTAGGACAGTAGGAAAGCAGGCACATACTGACTAACGAGATGAATTCTTGTTTCTGGAGCACTATACTCCTTCTTTCAGACACAAGCCCTATACGTAGTAATAAACTTCTTGCTATTATCTCTTTTACAACCAGTTAAATAGACAACTCATTGGAGGAAAGAAAACGACAATAATCCAAATCCTCAAACTGCCAGAAATTAAGTAACTTTCTGAAGTCACAGGAAAATCTGGGAGGAAGACAGAGGTTTCCAGTCTTCCTGGATCTATAGAGTAAACAGTCATCAACCAAGAGGACTTCGAAAAAAAGAAAAGAAAAGGGCCAAGTTTTAAGGTTCCCACCACTAGTGCAGCAGGAAGTCACAGATCAGCCAGCTTCCCTCCTTCCCCAAAGGACACAGCTTCACAGCCAACTTTTCAACACTCACAACAGAAATGTTACATTGTATCACGGAGGCAATGAAAAAGGTCCTCACTTCCCAACTAGCACAGAATGTAAGACCAGTGGCTTATAAATTATGAGCAAATGAGGTTTATTCTAAAAATGGTTCAATATTAGGAAATCCATTTCTATAAATCATATTGTTAGACCTAAGGAGAAAAATCAAATGATCATCTCTATAAAATCGAAATCCTTTCATGATAAAAATTTGCAAGAAAATAGAAATCAGTGGATGTATATTTTTTTTTAACATGACCAAATATACATGCACCCTCAGCCCCAGAGCTGTATTTGGCAGGAGAGCTTTGCTCATTAAGGCCGTGCACTGTCCACAGCCACTGCCAACCTCCACCGGAGTATCTCCCATGAAAGGAGACACGAGAAAGCAGAGCCGACACGAGGCTGGAGAGGAAGAAGCACATGGCCGCACACAGGGGAACCCTGGGGAAAACCTCTACTTTACCCAACTCTTACTGTCCGTAAGAGGAAGGAAAAATTAGGATCCAGACTCAGCAGCTTTAACTCATACTGACAACACATGGTTAGAAGATGCGAAGGGCAGACCACTCATCTCAGCAGCTGGACCCAAAACACAGCAGGTGGAACGTGCGTCCCACAAGGCAGAGCACAGCCCCTGGGTGATCTAACACCGCTCGGAGCAAAAAGCTGATGATCAAGCTTGCAGGGTAGAACAAAAGGGAACAGAATGGACAGGAAATCCTGAAAGAGAACAGTACAGGAGTGGTGGCAGTAACTGGACTAGATACTAAAATATAAAACCATTACCAATAAAACAGAGAACATGAGCACACGGAGAGACAGACCAGCTCAAAATCTAGGAACAGACCCAAGTTAGTATGAAAATTGAGGACGTGATAAGAACTGCCACTCAAATCACTGCGGGGAAACTCTTAAAATTGGTATTGATGACTTGATAGCTACATGGGAAAGGATGTTTCTGGATCTGTATGTGGCACCATTCACACTAAATTCCAAACAGATCAGGACTTGAAATATAAGAACACCTTTACAAGCACCAGAGAAAATAAGAATAAACTTTCCTACCACCCAAAGTAAAAAGAAACTTTCCTAACAAAAACAAAAGATTAACGAATTTTGACTACGTAAGAATGAAACTTTCACACAGCAAAACATACCAAGATCAAAACCCAGGTGGCAAACTGGGAACTGTATCTGTAACATGTTACTGATGCAGGGTTTGAAAAGCCCCACCGCGTCGAGCAGGACGGAAACCTTTACCTGGACAGCAAAGGGCAGGAGACCAGTGCACAGGGGAAACGCAGATTAAAAGTATACGCAACTATCTTTCACAGTCCAGAAAGTCCCAGTATCTGACGGCCCTGGCAAGGCTCTGAGAAAGCCAACGGGAGGACAAACACACAGCACCTCAGGGGAGGGATCTGGCTGTGATGGCAAAATTACAGATGCAAATACCCTCTGACCCAGCCATCTCACTTCTAGGAAATCTCTCCCGAGATAACTGGGTAAAACAGGAAATAGCAGGTGCACAAGGTGTTTAACTGTGACATGATTTGTTAAGAGCAAAAGTCTGGAAGCCACCCAAGTGCCCATCAAGAGGAATGCCTGAACAAATCATAGCACACCCACAGAGCACTGTGCAGCTGTGTAAAGAAATGAGGAAAGCCACTACCTGCCTTGATGCAGACTGCTCCAGGATGCACTGCAGGAAGAAACAAGGTGCAGAACAGAGTTCACAGCAAGTTAACCTTTTGCTTCTATTCTCGAACCAAACAATGCAAGAATATCCCAAAGACCAAGAATGGTCACCCAGCAGGGGAGAAAGGGGCCAAGAGGACCTCATAGGGCTCTGACTTTGCAATCATGGAATATTTAAGTATTTTTTAAAAACTGAAAATAAACTAAAAACAAACGAACCTAACTATGTATCAAGATGATAGCATAACCTCAATAGAGAGAAGAATTACTTCAATGATTTTAAACCCCACGATCTTTCATCTTCATGAGAAGTATGTGTTTGAACTCATGCAACTTCCCACCATAAACATCCAGAATTCTTGGACAAACAACTGACTGCAGGTCTGTGGAAGGAAACGGCTAAGGTTGGTCTGTGTTACAGATAAGGTTAAGTGGTTCAAGATGAACAGTTATGTCAGAAGGTGCAGGGTGCCTCCCTGAAGGAGCTCCCGTGGGCCAGAGACAAGGCAATTTCTGCATAAAGAACTAATCAACACACCAGAAGTTCATGATGACACTGAAAAGACCCATGGACCCAAGATGCCAGAGTGCCAATGTGGTCTAAAAACTAAGGGGAAAAGGATCAATTTTTTTTTAATGAATTTATTTATTTAATAAATTTATTTTTGCCTGCACTGGGTCTTCATTGCTGTGTGCGGGCTTTCTCTAGCTGCAGCGAGGGGGGCTACTCTTCGTTGCGGTGCGTGGGCTTCTCACTGTGGTGGCTTCTCTTGCTGTGGAGCACGGGCTCAAGGTACGCGGGCTTCAGTAGTTTGGCTCACGGGCTCTAGAGCGCAGGCTCAGTAGCTGTGGCGCACGAGCTTAGCTGCTCCGTGGCGTGCGGGATATTCCCAGACCAGGGCTCGAACCCATATCCCCTGCATTGGCAGGCAGATTCTTAACCACTGTGCCACAAGGGAAGCCCAGGATCAATGATTTATCCTGCACGTCCCACCCGGAAGTTCTTCATCAGAGTACCAACTAATTCAGGAGGAGGGAGAGACTAGAAAGCCATCACTTGCAACCCCAAATGAATTCAGGCAGCGATCAGCAATGGTTGATAGAACTATTAAGCAAAAGGTTGGTCAGGAACTTTACAATGGATGGATTTGCTGAAGACACCTGAGTCTACGGATCAATCCTGGAATCAACACCAAGTACAAAAAGCACCACCCACAGGTTTTCTTGCCAAACATACAAGTTGAACATGAAAGCAATCGAGAGCCCCTAGATCTATCCTCTGATTTACAGGAATAACGATGGACAGTGGAACGAGCCAAACACCCGCTTGTCCCTCGAGAACAAATCCATGGCGTTAAGGAAAGGAGAGGAAGGTGCTGCTAGGGATGAACGAGTGGGAGGGGGCGCGTCTCCTCTGGACACTGAGGAAAAATCCAACCAGGAAGGACGCCTTTGAGATGATGAGGGAAGACCATACACAGACTGGGTTGATGTGGGTATATTAAGAAGTTACTATTAACTTTAATAAGCGAGTTAACAGGATGCAGTTATGTTTATGGGAGCCCACAGGGCTGTGCTCCCCTCCCCACTAAGCCCCCTGGGGCCCCTCTTGCGTTAGCTCCCTATCTTTGAACCACCACATCTAGAGCCGGCTCTCCCCAAAGCTCAGAGACTCAGCAACAGGTGGGAAGCACCCTCATTCCTACCTAACCCCATGTGAGGGCCTGTCACACCACATTTCAATACGATCCTCCGCGTTTATCTTGGTCTTTAAGTGATGCCACTTAGGGAGAAATGCATCACTGATTTACTCATTTATTACAATGGTTCCCAAATAAATTCCAAGTAACTGGTATCAGACTGCTAAAAACTATGGAATTTGTGATCTCCCAAGCCCGGGGCCTGGAAGTGTGTATTTAACAAGGCACGTACTCACTGACCCTCAGAGCCTGAAGTGGGAACTGCTGATCTACACACGCATGTCCTCACTCCACCATCTGGGCGAGCTCAGTTGCGTGTCTGAAGCTCTGGGACGCCCCTCTAACTTTCAGTTCATTCACCGCAAGAGCAGAAATGGGAGGTGCCCTAGTCCTATCAGTGAGTTAGTGGTTTCACACTAAAAGTGCCAGGAGGCTCTGAACATTGCTGGCCTGCCTGCAAACTCTATGGCCCTGCCCACTGGTGGCAAGAGTCTGATCAGGTCTGAGCCGTGTCCGCAGTGCCTGGAGTGCCCCTCCTGGGGAGGACCCGGCCGGGGAACACCCACCTGAGTCTGCAGTCTAGCAACAATGTCCTTCCGGGCTTTCATGACAGCATCCAGCTTCCCTGAAACCATGATGGACAGGCCCTGGTCTTTGGCAAGAGACAGCTCCAGGTGAGCGCCAGTCCTCTGCATGATCTCAAGGCAGATTTTTGCTTGTTCACCTTCTCCAAACTGGTTCATGTCCTTGTATTTCCTCTCCTCCAGGGGTACATGGAACACCTGCTCAGAAAAGGTCAAAAAGGGAAGGTTAAGAGACCAAGGAGAGAAGACAGGAGTGTCCAGAAACCAAATGTACGGAGTAAAGAACGTGAGTTTGTCCATTCACTAAGTATCACCCCTGCCTAAGGCCCCAGAGGGCAGTTCAGGGACAAGCGGAAAGCGCCTAAGGGCAGGAGACTGTGAAGAAGACCCCCCCCCCCAAGTACAAATGAGGGCAAAGGGCACCACGGAACGGTAATGAGCAAAAGGCCAGTGAGGGAAACAAACTGGGAGGAGGGAAGGACCTGGCTGGCTATGCTGGGAGGGGCCAGAGCAGAGGAGCGGCAGGGAGCGTCTAGCACAGCGGGGGCCCACGAGGTAGGAGGGGAAGTGCTGGTCCCTCAGCCCACCCTGTGTGTGAGATGAGAAGACAACGGAGGGTGTGAAGGAGGACACATTCTGACTGAGGACTCGGGCTGAGCAGAGGCAAGGGTGGAAGCAGGGAACCAACAGGACGGTGGTTCAGGGCCTGAGCCACTATGTGGAACGTGGTGCATTTACAACATCAGGAGGCTGGGGGAACCAGACTACAGCCGGCAATGAGCCCTGGGCTTAGGGGGACTTCTCAGTGTGTGGGTGGTAATCGACAACCATGACCCAACATTGACACACAGAGAGAGCACTGAGCCCGCCAACACCCCAGCTCCAGGGAGCAGAGACAGGCTAGTGGAGTCCCAAAAAGTCAAGAGGAGAAAACTGATTCAAGACAGTGGGACAGCTGCTGACGCCGGTGACACGGAAGCCAAGGGCAGTTCCAGCAGCTGGAGCACAGACTGGACCGCAGTGGACTGAAAACATATGGGACCATCCCTTCTGGGTGCTGGGGTGCAAAGCAGCTGTGCTTCCCCTAGAGCTATGGGGGGTGGGGAGACCGACTTAATCCAAAGGCCTCCTCTCACGTCCAAAGCACTCTCACATCTGCATGTTCAAAAACCCTCCCGGGAATTCCCTGGCAGTCCAGTGGTTAGGGTCCCACACCTTCACCACCGAAGCCCGCGGTCTGATCCCGGGTCAGGCAACTAGGATCCAGAAAGCAGCGCGGCACAGCCGAAAGAAAACAAGAACAAAAACAAAAACAGAAACAGAAACCTCCCATCAGACACCACTGCTTCCTACTTGGAGCGGCAGGTGAAAAAAAAAAGGATTTTCTACCTGAGTGATGACGGAAGCCTTGATGGGCCGGATCTTGTTATTCCAGACGCCAGCAGGTTCCTGGGCATTTTCCACGCAAGCTGCTTTCTCAGGGAGCGGGGGGAAGGCGTCCTTGTAGGTTGGGGGGTCGCTGTCCTCCTCTGAATTTGAAGTGGCAACTGCGCCGGCCAACACAGATTAGGAGGAAGACAGTACTTTCAGTGTTCAACGGAAAAACCACGAGGAGGGTTTCAACGTCACGAAGAGAGAGCACTGACTGCTGACAGTTGACACTGACAACCCCCCACCTCCTCCCTCGGCCACCGGCAAGGGCCCGCGCCGCTCCGCAGGCCCAGCGCCCTCAAGTTCAGCCTGTCGACTGGAAGGGCCAGACTCTGAACCTGATGGCGCCCCTGCGCTGCACACAGCCTCCCCTGTGAGCCTCAGCTCAGACGCTGGATGCCCCACTGCTCCCCTAATGGGGTGAGCTCCTTGATGGAAGGCCTTGACACAGACTTTCCAGCCCTGAAGAGTCTTCCAATCCTGTATTCAAAAACAATCACGACCACTACAATGCCTGGCACATAGCCAGCTCTTAAATTTGCAGAACAAAATGCTGCTGCTGCCCAGCACTGCCCGCAAGAACCCCCCCGAGGTAAATTGCAGCTGATTTCCCACTGTAATGTACCATGGTGAAAGCATCGAGGGACCTGCCATCTCTGCCCCCCGCACCCCCAACGCAGGGAGCACAGGAGGAAATCAGGTCCTGGTGACCACCTGCTCCACCCTCCACAGTGCCCGGACCATTCACCACAGCTCCGTGGAAGCAGGAGCGTGACTGTTTGGGTCACCCTAGGGCCCGGGGCTGAACATAGTATTCGGCAATGGCAGGGCCCAATAAAAACTACTGTGAACAGATGTGCACGCAGAGAAGAGGGATGACCTTTGGAATCGGACAGGCCCATGTCCGACTCCAGGGTCGCAACTCCAGCCGTGCAGCCGTGCTATCCTGGATGCCAAGACAGACTCCGTGTGACGAGCTGTTCCAGTCTGCCAGTGCCCGCTCCCCTCCCCTAGAAACGGGGGCGCAGACCCCACAGGGCTGTTAGGTCATGTGGAAGCCCCAGCCAGCAGGCACTCAGAACCCAAGCGAACAGCAGTGTCTAGGTCTCCACTGCCTAGAGACAAGCCACTTGAAACGTGGTGAGTGTGACAGATGAGACGCACTTTTAGTTTTAATTAATTTAAACGTAAGAACTGATATTCAATTCAGTTATTGGAAAACTCTGAAGAGTGTCTGGAACGACAATGGGTAGAGCAAGCTACTCTTTCAGCTGCAAATTTTATAAAATCTAATAACTACAGATGAAGGGCTTTGGACGCGAACAGCACTCAAATCAAGTCGTCCTGCCGTCATACACACACATCAGACTCTGCAGGGAAAGGCAAGACCGTGAAGTATGAGCTAGAGACGCCGAAGAGACCGTCCTGCAGATGCCGCAGCTCGTGTACTGTCCCTCCTGGGCAGCACTGGTCCCCACTGGGGCTGGCTGCCCGGGCCAGTGCGGCGCCCGAGTCCCACCTTCATCCTCACCGCTATCTCCCGACAGAGCTCTGGGATGCTTCCCATCCCAGAGTCCAGTTCAACACAACTGGGCAATAGCGATTTTGGAGAAGAATCCTAATAATCACAAAGGCCAAATTCACTGGCTGTCCGGAAAGCTGTCCACTTTTTAAATCTTACTGTAGGCGATCCATCCACCACTCCTGGCCAATTTCACCCCTCAAACGAGGGTAGTGCAAAACGGAGCACACAGCACTGGTGGGTCCTGGCCCACCCCACAAACACAGGGCTGAAAGGCACCTCTGGAGAGGCCACAGGCTCTCGTGAAGATTGGAAAGAGCCATGTCTTACGGTCAAGAAGAACAGTGGGGAAGGGGCCGTCACCTCTGATTTGTTGCGGAACCAGTCCACTTCGGTGTTCAGCAAAGCTCTCTTGGGTCAGAACGGCGACGGAGCTCATGGTTGATCTCAGGAGTCCACACGATCCGGGTGAGCCACTGAAGCAGGGGGGTGAGTCAGAGAGGCAAGTCCAGCACAGCCAGCTCGCAGCTACCTGATCCGTTCAGCGGAGAGTTTAAGCCAAGGGTTCACTCTGCTTCACCAGCAAGCAACACCTTACCTTCCTCACTTCCAACTGCTGACACAAGGTGATTCCCAAACTCTCACTAAATGATGAAGAGGAGAGACTCAAGGGGTGGGGGCACCCTGGAAAACCTCCCCCCCGTTGCCCGTAACAGAGCAGATGTAGGCTCCAGCTGAGAGGTTCAGGACCAGGACGCCCAGGGGCCACCCCTCTCTCCACCCACAGGGCCCCAATGGAACCCAACACATGTCTGACCCAGCCGCAGACACAGATCAACATCTGGACGGTTCTACTAACAACTATCTCAGTTATTTGGTTAATCTGTTCATCCTCATGCCTCCTAATGCTTATAAAATGTATCATTTGACAGTAGCTGCAAAGAGCCCCTGAAGAGCAGCTTCCCTTGCTCTGTGGCGTAACAGCAAGAGGTAGGAGGGGTAGCAGTTTAAGTGCCTCTGACATGTGGTGACTGGTTTTTCTCCCACATCCGGTCTCCCAGGTGTGGGAGGGGACTTGCAGCAGGTGGGACCTGGCCCAAGGGCACACAGTTCCTCAGTTCAGGGTAGGAACCCTGCAGTCTGCCTCCGGACCCCACTCCTGAGTGGCCGCAGTGCTCAGCGAGACTCTGGCTCTCAAAGCCACAGCTCCCTTATTTGGAAAAGGGGCTCACTCAGCACTGGCTGCCTCTCTCCAACTCCAGGTGAGCCCCATGCTACTGCAAAGAGGAAGAACCCACTCTCTTCACACAATTCTGCACCAAGTGTCTTCTTGTACCACCGTGGCAAAAAAGTATAAGAGGGTCAAGTAATTTAATAAGAATGAGTTTCTTCATCATTTTTACAACACAGTAAGACCCCTCCCCAAGTTCAAGAAAATTAAACTCTGTATTTCTAAAGAGAAGCAAGATACAAATTCAGATACCCGGAGCAAACGTAATTCACATTTAAGGAAAAAAGATTAAAAATAGATGGAAACCAGTAGTATACACACTACCTGAAGTATACACACTGCTCCATGCTGGGAGGTTAGCTACAGTGATTCTCTCTGAAGAACCATTAGAAACTTAAGGATAAAACATAATGAAAGAAGGCACACACACAGCCCAGGGCCCGGAAGCCTTGAGACAAGACACACTTACCAGCAAAACGGTCAGTAGCCGGAAGGTCCGTCCTGAGGCCGCCTGTCAGCCGCCAGCTTTTTCTGGTGTGGGACAGGAGGGGAGAGGGAGCGAGGAGAAAACCAGAGAAAAGTTACCTATCTGCATCCTACAACCCAGATCCTTTCACCTCTCAACCAGAAAAGGTCAAAGTATTACTTACACTTTGGCTACTAATACCAATATTAGGCAAATTGCTCGGGGGGAAAAAATGGAAGAAACCCTTTCACTAGGCCATTAGCTTCTTTTTTTTTTTTTAATTAATTTATTATTTATTTTTGGTTGCATTGGGTCTCTGTTGCTGTGCGCGGGCTTCTCATCGTAGTGGCTTCTCTTGTGGAGCACGGACTCTAGGCGCACGAGCTTGGTAGTTGTGGCTCGCGGGCTCTTGAGCGCAGGCTCACTGGTTGTGGCGCACGGGCTCGGTTCCTCCACAGCATGTGGGATCTTCCCGGACCAGTGCTCGAACCCGTGTCCCCTGCATTGGCAGGCGGACTCTCAACCACTGTGCCACCAAGGAAGCCCCTAGGCCATTAGTTTCAAACAAACACATTACGGTAAAACCCGAACCATCTGGAACTTCTAGAGAGCAACTTCTCCAGGGACCCAAGGGAATCCCGTAAGTGTATCCCTTTTACATGTAACCATTTTGAAGTAAAATTCTCACAAAACTGATGTTTGTTCTGTTACATGGCTGAGTAATTTTTCCTGTATTCCTCTTATTAATCTATGCTGAGCCAGAAGAAAAAAGGTTCTGCAACACTGTGTCACGATCTAGAACAGACTGTGGACCTTGGGGGCTCCAGAGCTTTTTACGGTGACTGAGGGCTACTGTCTTAATAAGAGTTCCCTGTGTGTTTTGTAGTTACTTTGTTCTTCTTGCTGTCATCCTATAAAAGTTCTTCGGTCCCTTCTAATCCACTGGGGATTTAGAAACCAGGCCATAAAATAGCAGGGCTGGAAAGGACCTTCAAAGGCCAGCTTAGGAGGACCGAGAAAAAGGGGTGGGGGTCACCTTGCCTTGGGGGACTTCAGGATAGTGAGGCTGCCAGGTAGGTTACCAGCCGCTTTACGCAAACCACCGCGTGCGCTTGATGAGGGAGACATTGTGACAGTGGTGAGGCATGGGCTAAAATGGGAGAATTCCCAACAGTGACAAGAATACTCTACCTCACTGGAGAGTAACACCCCCAAGTTCCTGCCCATAATACAAGCGTGGTTCAGGAGCTAGGAAGACGGTTCATGGCAGTCAGGGGTGCCTCAGTGGGGTCTCAAATGTCCCAGCTGGGGGCATGAACCAGTGGTATAAAAAACTAACAAACAAAATCCCTCAACGTAGGGGCCTGAGTCACACGGGGGAACTACTATGAGCCAGAGGCGAGACCCGCTCTGGGGCCCCTGTCCCACCAGACACACAAAGGCACCTGAGACCCAAGCGCACAAGGCGGAGACAAACTGACCGAGACTGTTTTATTTAAATTTGCCTCCAACAAATTCTAATCGCAAGTCTCTGACTAAGGCAAGGAAGAAAGAAACCCTTTCCATTCAGCCAAACTGTCAGAGAAGCACATCCACGCATGGGTCCTGACGGGGTGGAAAAGGTGAGCCCGCCTTGGGATTCCCAGTGTCCAGGGGGCCCACACTTAGCCCGTCTAGGAACAAGATGGCGGTGCTCCAGGTCAAAGCGCCGACGGGAAGCCAGGACCCAGGCATCTGCCCCGCTCTCCTGGCAACTCTTGACTGCTGACCTGCGACCTGAACAGCCTCCCACGCCAGGTGCCGACATCCCTTATCAAAACCCACTGACACCCACCCTCTAAGAAGCTGCATTCACCCATGTGACCACCATGACGCCCACACCATCTTCTCTGTGCTCCTAACCGACCAGTCCTCTTGCTTTCCTGGACAGGCAAGTCTTCAGTGCCCAGTGACAGCTACAAGGTAAGCCCGTGCAGTGCAGCCACTGTCCACGTCCGCTCCAGCCACAGATTTCTGATGAGAAGCCCCCACCCTGCACCTGGTGTCACACACAAGAAGGGAGGAGCTCCTGAGGCTCCCTTCTGAGCCAGCTCCCACATGCTGCACGAGTCAGTTCTGGTGAGCCTTTCTACTGAGCCCCGCATTCCTCACTGGCTCAAGAAAGGGGCTTCAGTACAGCCCAACCGGCAGAGCCTCTAATGCCCCCATGTGTGCACAGGCCCTCAGGCAGCTAAGGGCGGAGGGTGGACCTACAGAAAACTCCAGGCTGGTTTGACAGGACACACTAGTCTCTAGTTTCCAGATTGCAAATGGCAGTTTGTCCCAGCGGGGAATGAATGGATCACAGCGAGCCACAGGTGAACATCTAGGGTGTGATATGATCAAATTAGGGTGTTGTTTTTCTCATAAACTTCTCAAACTCCTGTCTTTAAAGAATCCATTTTAAAACCGATCTGCTGATCCATGTGTAAGTGCAGACCTGAGACCTACCTGAGGCGCTGGGGTAGATCTTATAAAAGGCCAGCACCAGTCCTCCTCCCGTGCCCCCAGCCCTACTATCAACCTGCCGCCAGTTCACCAAAGCAGCACCTAAGAAACCGTCCCCCACAGCGCTACACCCACCCCTCGGAGATCTTTCAACAACCTCACGCCCGTCCAGGCGTGTGTGCTCCCTACCCCGGCTTCCCTACTGGCCATCAGTCCCGGGAGACCTCACCCAGGCCTCCTCCTGAGGAGCAGAGACCAAACATTTGCTATCACAGCTCCTCCCTTAGTTGAATACAGCTGCTCAAATCAGGACAGAAAGGGACCTCAGCGACAACTCTGTCCCACTCTCTGAATAAGCCAGGGAACAGGAGCCACACAGCCGTCCCTGGGGGCCCAGGCTCTGCTGCTTCTCCATCACTGTGCAGCTGTCGGGACGGGTGGCTTGAGGTCGTGCCCAGATGTGCTCCTTCCCCCTTCTTGCCACAGACAACAAGTCCATCTTTCTTACAAGACTCCTTCAGGTCCGTGAAGGAGTTACTTCAGGTACTCCTTCAGCCCATTCTCCAGCCCCCTTCAGTGATTCCCAAGAGGCCCCAGTCCCTTCATCATTTTGATTGCTCTCAACTACTTTCCGTGCAAGAAGCATTCAGATCTACCCAATGCAAATCTCAAACTCTTCTCAACCTGGACTTTAAGTCTTGTTTCTCAGAGTATAAATACCCACAGTAAAAAACCCCCACATTTTAAAATGGGGGGGGGGCACTCCCACGAGGATGGACGGTTATGCACCAGGGTGCCCAGGTGAAGTCACAGCATACGTGGCTTACATCTGAAGCTCGGTCCTAACAAATGTACAACACATTAAATGAAGAATTTTACTTTTTTGCCTGTAAACAAGGAAATATAAGCTGATTCCCTTGTAATATTTTGCCAATTACATATTCAAAAGAAAAAGTCTTTTGCAAAGAGAACTCATGAGTAGCAGTCCAGGAAGAATCTTATCTCAGTCAACTAATGAGATCTCAGTGCTTTGTTTACCTACTAGACAGGACTGAGTACGTAGGGTATCAAAAGACCACCAGGAAACCCAGGACCTCTGTCCTCTTCTTCCAAAGTTGAAATTATTTAATTTTAACCCTACAGCAAGCTTGTAAGGAAAAAAAAAAATTCAAAGTCCTTCTCAAAACCCACAAACCAACTGAGAATACGAATATAAAATCTCGATGGCTGCGAGATCACAAAGCATAAATATAAG